AATGCGCAAGGGAGGAGGGCACTGAAAAGAGGCAGAAGGTAGACTAGTTGGCATAGATTCTAGGCATGCTCCAGGAGCAGAATTCGGAATCCGGGAAATGGGTGGCCGAGAGAGGCCAACCTGCTGGGAACTCGAATTGTACTGGCCATTTACAGGAGTAATTCCAGGAGGATCCGAGGTTTTGGGACTTTGCTCGTTATACCAGAGGCCTGGAACACGTCCAAAATAACAACTAAGGCAGCGTGGACAGGTTGGCCGATTGCAGATGTGGCAGAAACTCTAAAGAAGAAAAAAAAGAGAATGAACATAGGTATATGTATATAAAAAAGGGATGGATAAAGCGGCAACAATTAGTAGGTAAGTGAGCCTATAAAGAAAAAAAATGAAAACGAGGGAAGTAAAGAGATCCCAGGCTATAAAACGAGGAAAAAACAACTACTGGGCAAGAAAAAGAAAATGTGGCAGTAAAAAAATAGACATTTTACAAATACGCTTTTTGCAAATGTCTGGAATAAGATAACTAAAAAGACCAACCATCCCCAGTATGGTGAAGCAGGGCAATGTGTGACTACGCAGACTTGAGTTTACATTACAATGTGAGAGGGACATTATCATCTAGGAATGTACTCTGCTGAGACCTTAAGCCTGATCATTATATTTAGCATATCGATATGCTACCGCCGTTCATTACTGCGACAAAAACGTTTAGAAAAGGATAAAGTTCAATGGGAAGATCTTCATTTAAAATTGAGTAGATTACCAACCAAGGTTTGGCTACACAATACGATCGAGAGCGTATTTTTTAATATAAGATAGAAGCAATAAAAATGAAGAGTGGTGGAAAGTAAGATTTAAAAAAGCTTAAATACTTTTGAAAGGATAGAAAGAGCCAAAAATATAAAGATATCAAAAGATGATACACTTTTAAGGCAGTAGTTCGATAAGTAATAATAAGATTGCACATGTCATCGTTTTTGAAAATTACTAGGCTTGGTCAAGTGTGACAAGCAATGTATCTAGTTTGGCTCACCCGCCTAGGATTCAACACCAACGGTATCTCACATGCATTGCAAAGGGCATCAAAGCTGAGATCGACTGGCACATCTAGACGAATACTGGATAGCTCGGCTAAGATCTGCTCCAGACTTAAGGGAAACTTGGAGATAAATGCGAGATCAGCTTGATTTCGGCGCGACAGAAAGACTGAAA